GTATTTAGACTGAAGTATTGCTAGCTCAGTATTTCCCTAGAACTATTTTCATTTCAAGGGGGGAGAAAAGAAAAAAAAGGAACTTCAATGTTTTAAGCATAACCGTTTGCAATGTTCTGTAAATGGAAAACCTTCAATTGATGAAAAGTTTCCTTTTTCTCACTCTTTCATACATACACACACCAAGAAAATGCAGCTTTTTAGCCATGACTTCATAAGCCAACAGAAAACTCTCTATTCAAGCAACATTGAATCAGTTTTCCTGAGGCAAAACAGCTTGACTATAGACCAAGCTTAAACGATGTGCTGAACATAACCCTAGAAATGTTAAGCTTCACTTACAATGAGGGTATTCCACTGTTTCATCTGCTGGCAGAGGAAATGGCATAGCTGCAGAGCATGGCATAGCAAGAGGAAACGTGGAATACAATGCAATTTTTCTCACCACTTGCATCAAGCATATGCTTAAACATTGAATTATTCAAACTTGAAGTACACTATTCATTAAACTGAATGAAAAGTCCCTTAAGCTTTGTGAACTTCAGCCACCACCTGATTAATTCAATCCAATTTCACAATAAATTTCAGTTCTTCACATGTCAAGATCTTCACAATAAGCCCATAGTCTTTTTTGAGCCATTTAGTTAGATTAGATGCAAGATAGGAACTCACAAAGAACTTTTGTAATACCAGCAGAAATCTGTAGGGTACTACACTTTTTAAGTGGTGAGTAGATCTAGAATGGTGAACTAGATCAGAGCAGAGAGCAGACTGGCAAGTACACAGTGTTCTGCTTAAGTGTGATGAGAGAAAGTAACCTAGACAACTGTTATCCTCTAAGGATAGAATGTATCCTTCAAAGTATGGAAATTTTTTATTTAAAAGGTAATCAACAATAAAGAGAACCATTAAGAAAAAAAACAACACAAATCACAGGATAATTTCAACTTAATTGTAAAAAGAGATACCAGTCTGGAACAAAGGAGTTAATTTTTAAAAGAAAATATTAAATCAAAGGAAACCTGAAGTTCAATCTTTCCAAATTTCAGCAAAAAAGTTTGATACAGCATCACACAGCAAGTATTGAGTTGTATCAGAAAATGATAAAGATGTAACAAAAATAAGTAGATACAAAAGTAGATACAAAACTGATTATAGGTGACATAATGAATAAAAGTTTAAAATCGCTGTTCAGACTGATTTTATATCATGTGTTCCTTTGTGAATTTGGTAAAAAGGAGAGGCATTAATATAAAAACATGAGGCTCTCACCATCCAACAGCAGACATTGGAGAACCTTTGTGATCAGTGCATTAGAAACACTATAGAAACATATAGAAAGTCTTCAAAGTCATATAAGCACAAACAACAGAATTTCTATGAGACAATATCTAATCATTTCAGAACAACAGGAAAAGAGAAGTTGCATCTCTACTGCAAGACTTGATATGTACCTGTAGCACAAACTGTGTCTTCACCAATATCTGATTCAGTATTTTTAGTTCACCAAGACTAGCATTAGCAATATTATTTAAGACTTCCAGGAAACACTTCAGGAGTACAGTATTAAATGCAGGTAAGATATGTTCTGAATTCAGGAGAACCAAGTTACCAGGCTCTGAGTATTCCTTTCCACTTTTGCTCAGACTACAGGAGCTTGCTAAGACTTCTTTGATCTTAGCACATAAAAGCTCTGAAAGGCACATGATCAATGTTTATAATTTATTGAAGGCTACACGCCAAGGAGTTGTCCTTAAATAACAATATAGAGACGGTGCAAATTAGGAATCAAAGAATGTATTTAGGCTGGAAGTTAAAAGAAACTTCTAAACATTGGAGAGAGGTTTTGAAACTTTTTTTTTTCCAGAAAGAGCAACAGGGCAAAGTACTTAACTATCTCTAAGGGAGACTGTGGTCAGTTTATGACTGGGATTAGATAAGGCTGTTTCCAAACAGAAAAGCCTCTTCTGCAGCCCTGAATTGCTATGATGAGGAACTGCTCCCTGTTCTGCTCCCCCATTTACCAGTATTTTTCCTTCCCACACTTCCCAGTAAAGATCAACTGCGGCTATGACAGGGCTAGAATTAACTTTTGATATTTAAGAGAAAACAGTCTTAAGACTTAACATCCTTCCCCACTACCTTGCATGTTTTTGTAGAATATTATATCAAAGTGGATAACTAAAGCTGTCCTTGAGATCAAGAGATTTAATCAGCAACTGAACAGAGCAGTGCATTGTAAACATACCAAAATGATACTGCCCCTTTCAGCCTCCATTAAATATCTGTCATCCATGCTAGGTTTCTGCTTATTATATGAATAGCAAGAAATAGAATTTGATTGTACTCCACACATTTAAGCCTAAAATTCTGGCAGCATCCTTTTTGTACTGAAGTTGCTATCTGAACACTTCACATAAATTTCTGTTAAGACATAGAGCTAACCATCCCCCTGCTCAATATACACAATTCAATGTTAATCATTGAATGACCCACTCAGACGTTTTCTTATGTCAAGACCAGTGTGTCATCCAAAACCAGCTACAGAATGTATTCACATGACTGTAGGTATGGACCAGTTGCCAAATAGTTATTTGGATACCATTAAGAGAATATCAAGCAGGGCTGCAGTCAGCAACCTCTGCTCTGCTTACATCTAAAAATAAATGTGCAGCATTTCCATGACAGAAAAACACACTTAACCTGTTGCAGACGTAGAAAAGGCAGGCAAGTCTGCCATTCACTGAACTGACCATACCCACAATGCATTGTATCAAACACAGTCATGACGCCGTGCACACTGCAACTTGACACACACTTGGGTAGCTTAACATAAATTCTGCCTCAAATCTATACAAGACTGGAACTTAAGCAATGACAGAAGTTGTTCAAACCCCTATTTTTTTTCAGAACTTCGGCATTATCCATATGTAAACTAATAGCCAAAGTAGTGTGGCCAATTAAACAGAGCAAAGACATTTTTATTCCAGTTATATCTCAGATCAGTAAATGAGCAGCACTTTCTATGCTTTGGTCACTTTAAGGAGATCACAACGTCATCTCCAGTTAGAAAAATCAGAAAAGAAAACAGATTGCACTCTTGTTTCAAGTTCAAGAATAAAGCCAGTGAACTCCACTTTTGCTATGTGTAATTTGATTTCTAGCATCATCATCAACAGAATCTTTTTTGCTCGCTTTGTTATAGGTTGGACAGAGTTCCACCTTAAATGATGTAAAGTGATATATGTGTGACTTAGTTCAATAACAGCATGCAGTACTGGAGTAAATGGAATTGACAGCAAGAGTCCATATTCCTCTCTCACTAGTCTCCTTTTAAACTTGTGCTTATTTTCTGTTCCCTCATTCTATAGCTCTAAAGCCATGGCAGGACAACTGCAAACAGCCTAGTTTTCAAAGTATGTGGTTAGCTTAGCTCATATGTTCTGCCTTATCTCTTAGATTTCAGGGTTAGTAATAGTTTATCTTCTTAGTCAAGCTCTTTCTCCCAGATGCATTCACACTCTTCTACAGTAAGACTACAACTGGTGAAACTGGCAAATCACACGTGCCACTGCTATCAAACACAGCCTCCCTTCTCAGATGACGTGACTTAGTGCAATCTACAGCCTCCACTGACAACACATAGTATCTTTTCAATTAGAAAGCAGTACTTTTACAGAACAATAGAACATATACTGTAAATAGCAAACATTATTATCAAAAATACGCTATCAAAGCAATTAACCCCAATTTAAATTAGTTCAGAAATTATAAAGCCTCAAACTAGTTTTCCCAGCAACAAAACTACCCAAACACTGCAAAATTCACTTGTGCCATGAAATTAAATTATTAATAAATTCTGCAGTATGAAATCATGATCTCACCACTCTGAAAATCCCATTTTCTGATTTACAAAGAAATACCTGCCTCAAGAATAAATATGCTTAACACCAAGATTCTTACTGAGCAGTAGTTCTCCTCAATTCAGCTCCTCTAACAGACAAGTGCCAAGAGCTGTTCTGGTACTGGCTCAGAGGCAGTAAGCAGAACTCTTGGAAGCAGCTTATCACATTTTCTCAAAGGATGGAAATAATCAAAGCAGACATCACACAGATTTTGGCTGCTGTAGTTGAGAAAGTCAGCACTCTCAATGTAAGTTGTGGTCTCCCCAGTCCAAGTTTTCTCCATTCTGCATGCCAGAATTTTGTGCAAACCAAAAGCTAAAAGTAAAATATAGCAGCCTGGTTATTCTAAGTCTACCCATGTAAAGCAAAAATAATCTAAAGCATCATCCTCACATTGCCAGCCACTTCCAAGTTTGCCAGAGATCTCAGGCTGTAATGTGTAAATCATTACATGTTCTGACAGTACTTTCCAAAGGAAAATCCACCTTAGAATTACAATAAAGAAGTACAGTTTAGCTTTAAATGAAATGATGTAGCTTTTGTCTGACCTGAGTGTCAGTCTTTTCCTAGTGGGAAATATAAATTCAGCATTTGGATACATAATCCTACAGCTCTCAGAAGCCGACTCCACCGCCAACACTTTACATGATTTATAGCTCTCCTCCAAATTCAGATGGCAAGTCTCGACGGAGCAGGTGCAACGGGGTATTTCTCCTTCGTTCGGAGATAATTTCCTCGCATGTAAATTAATTAGCGAGCCTTCATCACTCTCGCGCAAGCGGGGAGCACGAAGCTAATGGATTACCAGCGGTTAACGTCTCGCTCGGAGCGGTGACCCGGTGGGTTGCCGGAGGGAGGGAGCTCCGTGTCGTTACCGCTGAAGCTACAGCGTTTTTGACAGCATCAGCGGCGACAAAAGTGAGCCCGGCTCCCGCAGTTGTGCCGACAGTGCGCTACATCGCGGGGGAAACGTCCTCCGCGGTACCACGCGCTTTCTGCCCCCTCCCGGCGGCTTCAAGCTGCCCCGCCAGCACCGTGCCCCCACCCGCAGCCCTGCCCCTTCCCCGAGAGGGGGCGAGTCCCGGCTCCCTTTACCTCCTCCGGAGCCATGGAGAGCGCTGCGGCCGCTGTCTCGGCTCCGCACGGCTGGCAGAGCTCTCCTCACTCCCTCACCTCGCTACGCCGCGATCCGGCGGCACAGCCCGCTCCGCATAAATGCATTAACAGCAGCCACATCATGATTAATTCATCAGTCCGGTGACCAGAGGAGGAGGCACGCCGAGCGGAGCGGGGCTGAGAGGGGGTGGGAGCGCGCGGCTCCTTTCGCCCGGAGTTCAGCCCCCGCTGCCCGGAGGGAACTGCCGGTGCCCCGCCGCATTCAGGAGCCGCCCGCTCGGAGCACCGTCGGCGTTTAGCGGCCGCGGCTCGCGTGCCTCAGCTCGCGCACAGCGGCGACTCCGCGCTGCGAGTCGGGTTGCAGGCTGCGCGCCACAGCTTCCCGGGGAGATCCCTCACCTCGCGGGGGTACAGCAGCGGTGACGGGCTCGGTGTGCCCGCAGCCAGGCAGACGCCCCGGAGTGGAGGGCGGCCGCGACATCCCCGAGCTGCCCGCTGCCAAGGAGAGACGGGCAACGCAAGAACAGTGAGGGCAGAAAGGCCACTTAACCTCCGCAAGGCCGCCGTCACTTCATCAGGAGTGGGCTACAAGTAGCCCAATACCCCCCCCGGCGCGGGGCAAACAAGCGGCCGGCCTGTTGCTAGAAGCAACCCTCTGCATGCAACCCCCTGCTGCTCCAGCCCTGCAGCACCTCTGACTCCTCTCCTGGTTGCCCAGCACCAGGCTGAGCACGGGGCTTTTTGAGTTCCTTCACATGGATTTGTTTAAACTTGGGGCACACTGGACCTGGAGTTCGTTCACAGCAGGAATAAATCAGCAACAGCTTTGATTTTAAGGTTTTTAGGATAGCTGTTAAGCAAAGATCTACAAGAAACATACTGACATCCCTCTGTTTTTCCACTCACAAACACATCAAAGTCTCACATGACCAGCTGCCCCTGTAATACTACTAGTTATACATAACATACAACACCAAGCAAGAGATGCTTTGTCTTTCAGCCTTATGTCTTCCTAGACAGCTCCATAATCAGGCAATTAAGTTAGTGTAGAACAGATGGTTCATCACCTATTTATTACTACCTTACCTCATCCACAAACCAAGTTTGCCTACCTGTTAGAATCTGCATGCTTTAAAGGACTCCATTTGAATAGATCACCAATTCTTTATTGATCATGTGCCAGGAGCAAAAATTTCTCCTGTCACCTCTTGTGGAAGCAAGTATTTTCAGCATGACACAGTTATATATAGAGATTCCTGAGCATCAAACAGAATTCAAAAGCTGCACATAGAGAGGTCCCCCAAATTGTCACAAATCCTTCATTAGATAATCATTCAAGCTGTGTGAGGAAAGGAAAATGAGATGTTTTTGTTATTTTTCTTTTCCCATTATGCTGTATATTTTGTATACAAGTAACAAGAGTAATTACTTACAACTCCACAGCTGAGGTTGCATTGTGATTTGCACTTATAGCAGGACTAAAATCTCTGTGTTTCATACTTGAATGATTACAGTTACACTACACATTTGGTGCAATAACACTTGAGAATTACAGCTGATTTTTCTTTTTCTTTATAATATTTGTTTGCATCCTGTTGAGAAAAAAATTGCCTTCTTTTTCAAGTGTTTCTTATTTTCCTCACATTCCTGAATTTTCTCAGCATTAATTCAGAGTGTTCCCATATATTATAAGCCATACATACTGTAAGTTATGAACATAGGTAAAGCCAACACTGAATTTTGAACTTTTAAAATCAAACACACTAAGTTACCCTGTTATTTGACACAGCATTTTCTTAATAAGCAAAATCATGCAAATTTTGATACTAGTCTTAATCTCTCCCATTTAAATAGTTGCCTGTATAAAGATGCCTGCTTCTAGCCATCTAGCATTAAACTGGAAAAAGCACAGGTATTTAATGAGGTATTTAATTTGATAGGACAAGAAGAAATAGCCTAAAACTTGAACATAAGAAATTCCAGACAAACATGAAGAACAACTTCTTTACAGTAAGGATGATGGAGTACTAGAAGAGGCCACCCATTGAGGTTGTGGAGTCTCTTCCTGTGAGTATATGCAAGACTCATCTGGACACCTACAGGTGTGACTTATTGCAGGGAAACTTTTTTTTAACAGGGAGTTTGTCTCAATGATCTCTTGAGGTCCCTTCCAACCCCCACAATTCTGTGAGGTAGCAGATGGGTTATCAATGCGTTTGTATGAGAGGGATAAAAGTGCAGCATAACTAAAGGGGAGAGTTGAAGAACCTGTATGGCTATCTGTAATGCTATAATGCGATAGAAAGTACAGCAATGACAGCAGGGTGGCAAAATCCTAGGCTGCAGGAAGAGAGGATAAACCCAAATGCAGCAGCCATTCACAGAGAAACAAAGGAAAGAAGCTGCTTACCTTCAGAAGGCTTCAGATACACAAAGATCTCCAGCAAGATACTTTCACCTCTACTGCCAACACTTAAATGAGGGCTGGGAAGGGGTGGATCTTGACTCCACTCCTTTTGGTCATTCAGGTACATTGCATACACCTGAGCTTCCATGCATTGTTCCTGCCTTCCCACCAGGTTCTCAATCACTGCTTCAAGCTGTGACTTAGCATTCCTGCTACGTTATCCAAGTGCAAATCCATGTATCTGCTGTGTAAGATCTCCTGTTTACAAATGGCTTAAGGCCATGATTCAGAATAAAATCAACGTGGCTAATTTGGGAAGAGAGAGGACCTATTTTCAGCGCTTTTCACCTACTCTAAGCATTTTTGGAAATTCTCCAGATTCCTTATCACAGAACTCAATTGCATGGACAATTTCACTAATGAGTCAGTGCAGTGATATTCTGTGGAGCTATGTACCTATAAAACTATTCAAAATTTCAAAGCCTGGAAACATTCTATTGTTTCTATTTATTCAAATATAACTCTATGATTCTAAGAGATGCTTAACATCCTTGCTGGTATTACAAGAGGGACAGATTTATCACATATGGATGCATAGTTCCTGCAGCACATGAATTTATCTGGACAAAGAATCATTGGAAATATTTCAAGTTATTTTGGTGTTAACATTGTGGATCACTTTGAGTTTCAGTGCTGTCACATCTAGACATTTATTCTTGGCACATCTCTGCAAAAGATTAAATCTTGATCACATAAAAATCAAAGAAATTCTGCTATTTCCTTCAACATGGTAGGATTTCATTCACTGAGGATTTCATTTCTCTGGGGATCCAGTGTATTTCACATAAAGTTCCTAATAAAAGTGGTTTATATAAAAATAATAAAATCTGAAGTTTTCTTCTGGAAAATGAATTACTTGAAGGAAGATTATTTTATGATACGATTAATACTGATTTGATGAAATTAAAGCAGATGATGGCAGTAGTTATGTGACATATTCCTGGCCTGAAGGCCAGATGACATTTGCTTGATTTCAGACTGAACATTCAAAGTCTGGTCACCATTATTCATCCACTAAGGTTCATGACATTGGTCTGATTTATGACTGATTCTGACCGCTACACAGAAACTGTGGTTTCAGTTGAACCATGATTATTTGTTTCATTCTGAAGCACTGACAAATACTCAAGTCATAAAGGGTGTCTTTGTCTTGATTTTCAATTAATTTTAAAGTGAATTAAACATCTGACAAATAATGGGGCAAATCTGTCTTTCTGTACTCAACTCACTAGAGTTCATTAAAAGTGAATTTGACTCAGCGCTTCCTTGTTCTCCAAAGACATTTTTGTAGCAGCTTTGTAACAAACTAAAATTACCTAGACAAACGTGGATTTCAATTTGCATAAAACTTGCACGGAATTTATCTTATGAAGGCCTCAGGGCCTAGCATATGCAATACCAATCTTAGAAAGAGTTGATGTTTATTTTTTAATTAAGAATTGTAATTCCTGACCTCTTAATTACCATGAAATGACTTTTTCCTCACAGACTGCTAGAAATCCATATTAATAGCAATGTGATAAGGCATAAGTTACTGAGACTACTTCAGTAGTTTTCTGAGATGACCAAAGGTTCTTTAAAGAAAATAAGGCAATTCTATTATTGTAGAAAGATTACTGAGGACATTTCAGATTAACGTAGTTAATTTTTGAAGCAGAAACACTTTACTATATGCTCTGTTTTTGTTTTTTAAAATTGCCCTTGGTATTAAACATTCTCACTCATGACCATTGCACAACTCTAGTTTGTATCACCAGATGCAGTAAGCAAATGAAAGAAAACACAGAAAATAGGAAAAGTTAATGAGCAAAGCTCTTAAACAGCAAAGTTTAAGATCATAGAATGGCATAGGTTGATAGGGACCTCAAAGCCCCTCCAGTTCCAAATCCCCTGCCATGGGCTGGTTGCAACCCACCAGATTAGGGTCCAGGGCCCCATCTGGCCTTCAGAGCCTCCAGGGAAGGGGCATTCATAACTTCTTAGTCTATTCCAGTGCCAAGATGATCCAATAGACATCATTCCAAATTCCTAGTCCAGCTGAGCTGGGCATTCTACTGACTCAGCAGATTGTAACTAAAATTGCATTCATAATTTTCTCCATATTCCATAACTATCTGTATGCAGCCTGAGTATGCAGCTTAATCAGGCTGCATACAAGGCAGGTGCATATAGTACACAAACTCTGAACATCCTCCTAAAGCTGCTCAATTAGCCAAAGAGTAAAGATCAGAAGCCTTCCAAAAATCTTGATGCATTTCCTACCTCTAGAGCAACAGACATGACATCACCAGAAGGAAAACCCACTTTAGCACAGTGCTGGACCAAGATCTTTATTGTTTTGCTGGCCCTGAAGTTTCAGCTGAAGTGTGGTTTATAATGCTGTAAAATTATAGGTCAGATAAACCTCACTGCAGCTCTGGGGTATAGCTGTCCCTCTTCATTTAAGATAGATGTAAGAAGTCATTATGCTCCTTTGCAGAAACAAGTGGCTGGAATGACTGTAGTCTCTAAACCCCAAACACAATTACATGTCTCTGTGCAAAACAAAAGCTTGAAAAATCCAGCTCAGAAGTGGGTGGAGAGGTTTTGCTGTTTTAAGCAGGAAATAAATACAAGTGGAACAAATTAAGGCTATGTATATAGGACATAAACATGCAGACACAGCTAATATATAAAAAAAGCTAACATCAAATTAAAGCCAAAGAACAAGTACCTAAGAGAGAAACCTAGATATGTTTTGTACTGCTGGTGCAGAATGACATGCTTTGGATATCTGAAAGACAAAGCTTTCTCAATATGTATAATTACTGCTTTACTCAAGGAAACTGGACTTTTTATGCTGCTGAGGAAAGATCAATCTCTATTAATAAGTTGTCCTTCTAGCAGGACTATTCTACAACCCCTCAAAATCTTGACCAGCCTTTGGCTACAATAAAGCTGTGTGACACAGCGATATATCTCAGATATGAATATACATGCTGTTATTAAAGTGATAAATCTCCTGCTTATATGTCCATACAGTTATTAATTGATCTATGGAATTCCCACATCCCACTAACAAAGGAATACCTTCTTTAAGGTGTTCATAAATTTATGTTTTGGAGGCTGAAACTGATATATCTAGCTATCGCTCAAACACCCCCAAATACTTGCCATATCAAAAGGACATTTCTATACAGTGGAATAAGTTTTTAATTCCCATCTATTTTTGTGAAGATTTAGGCACCTGTAACCTCTGTAATATATCTATGCCCTCATCCCCCCCAGGAAGTCTAGGGGAAAAAAAAAAGAGAGAGAATATAGACAGGAATCTTCTTAATTTCCCCCTGGAATCTTGAAAAAGACTTAAAGAAGGACAAAGTCTGTGGGGTAGTGGGCTGACTGTGGCTTGGAGCAGGCAGTGTAGGAATATTCAGTCGATTTGGTC